CCACAAGAATCGATAGAGATGGGATTCCTAGCCAGCTCTGAGATAAGCGAAGGGGAGTTTCTTATTTGTTATTGCCCCGGGAGGCGGCACTTCATCAGTACAATGCATTGCCAGTGAACGTGGGGACTGTGAGCTCACAGGACGTGTGCTTGATACACAAGGAAGCCCGAAAAGTGACAAAGGCTGTATGCAGTAGATAGAACTTCTTACCAGAAACCCCCTGACCAGGGGCAGAGGTACGGTAAGACAGCTCACTGGGAAGGCCTGCGAGCTCCTTTCTGGGAGAGTCAGAAAAGCGCTGCGTTTTACGGGTGAGTTAATGTCACAACGGTTCAGCTCGACAGAGAGGAGAGTTAAAAATTAAGGAAGTTCCATATCCAACGACAGACAGACAGCACAGATGAGCTTCTCCCAACGTGCAAGGTGACGATGATCGGAAATTAAATATGAGGCCAACACAGGGCACGGGGACGCGCCAGAATGAAAGCGTCTCTCTGGTAGCAGAGCAGAGAAACCACCATAGTGGCACGGACGTGACTGGGACGTTCGTGCCCGAGGATGGCTGGGTCTCCCCAGGGGCCCATGAACGCCTCTGGGTGTCACCTCCGAATGTCTGTGATTTTGTGTCATTGGGCACTACGGTAAAGAAGACCATCACTATCACCTTCATCACCACCCTGAAGTCTTCAACTCATATCCACAGGCAGTGAATGAATGGGTGGGGCCATGTTTCGATAAAACTTTATTGACAAAAACAAGTGGAGGGCCAGGTTTCTCACAGGGCGTGTGCAATGTGCAGACTCCTGGTCTGTATTAGGCTTGGAGGTTTGGAAAATGTATTTAGAAACTCTATCACGGTGAGAGCCCTGACTTTTACTACTTAAGCATGTTGCTGCCCATCTGGGTGTGATGTCTGATTTATTTGCATCTATTTGGAAAACTGCTTTAAAAACGATGTTTTAGCTATTTATTTTTAGGGAGCGGGAGGGTGACAGAAAGAGAGGGAGAGAAACATCCATGTGTGGTTGCCTCTCAAGCGCCCCCTAGTGGGGACCTGGCCTGCAACCCAGGCCTGTGCCCTGACTGGGAATCGAACTGGTGACCCTTTGATTTGCAGGCCAGTGCTCCATCCACTGAGCCACACCAGCCAGGACAAATAATTCCTTTTTTTTAAAAATGAGACATTCTGGTTATCAAATATATTAGCCCAGAATCAAGAAACAATTCCTTTTTGCCCCCAAATAAATCACATTTTTATTATATGATACTTCCTTTTCCTTGTTCCAAGGCACACAAATTGGTTCCTGCTTTTTAAAAAAGTCCGATGGCAGATAAATAACTGTTTCGTGATTTATTATTCTTCCTTTTTAAAAAAAAAAGAAATTATTATTGATTTTCCTTGTGGCTTTTCTGTTCTTTCCACTCAGTGTCTTTTTTCTGCATAATATTATTACTGTTTTAGCCTACATCCTAATTTTCACGTCCTTCCCCTGGGTGCTTATTCGGCCATAATTTTTCCCCATTTCTTATTAATTCAAGAACGTAGAACAATAGAAAATTGTCTTCATATTTTCGCTGTATTCCACAGGTGGTGGCTTACTCTGTTTCGACTCTTTATAAACAATTTTGTTTCTGGCCATCAATCCTGTCAGCCTCCACGTGGTAAAACGGCAGCTTTTGAAAAATTAATGTGAGTGTGGGCATGTGGAAATTCCACTTTAACCAGGAAAATGTATTATGAAAAGGCGGCTCCTTTGGCCTATCAGAGAAGGCAGAACAGGACAGAGGGGGCACCACGGGGACAGGACTGGTGTCGTCCCAGCATCTGTGGCGGTGACAATCTTTAGGGTGACACAGGAGACTGACCCCTACCTACAGAGTCATTGTTGATGCCATTCACAGGGCCATCAGTGTGGGCCGAGGACCTCCCCCCATGGGAAGAAATGTGTGGTAAAATACAGCATCTGTCCCCAAAGCATTTTCTGTCATTCTCCCCTGAAACTCTGTCCCCAACACACACCAGCTGCCCACCGCCACAGGGCTCCCTCCGTCTACCCTGTGTCTCCGTGAATTTGGCTCCTCTGGGGACCTCACGTACGTGGGATCACAGAGCGTCTGCCCCTTTGTGACCGGCTTCATCCACGGAGCATTAGGCCTGTAAGACGCATCCGCATTGGAGCGTGTGGCAGAAATTCCTCTTTTTCATGGCCGAATAATATTCCCTTGTACAGAGGGAGCGTGTTTTAGTCACCCGCTTACCCACTAATGATATATTTTGGAGGGTACCCATTGACTCAGGAGAGCATATCTCGGTCCTCCTTAAACTCTGCTCAAACGAACTCAACTTCTTACCCAAGATGCGACCATGGGCACCCTCACTCCCCGAGATGATGACACGCATGCATGTGAATTCCCAGTCATGGAAAAGGGTGCAGGGCCCTGGCCCGAGGGCTCGCTGCCTTGAGAAAGGAGCATTCACTCGCCCTGAGAGAGCCGGTGTCCACAGGGGACTGTCCTTCCTGTTCTGGGCAGGTCGGGTCAGGGCCAAGCCTGCACCCTGAGGGGACTCAATTTGGGGGAACAGATGGTAAAGGGACTCTCCTGGGAATCTCACCCAGGACCACAGACAGGTCCTGGGAACCACCTGTCTGCAGGCATTTGGGGTTCTGGAGTGTGAAAAACACAGGAAATCGCTCCAAATTCCCCCTGGCCACCGCTTCATCAATGACGCCTTTACCCAGTGACAATTAATCATCCCTCAGTCCCGGCCGGGTTGCTCGGTGGGTTAGAGCATTGCCCCAGTCGATACACCGAGGTCGTGGGTTCGATCCCTGCTCAGGGCACATACAAGAATGAACCGGTGAATGCGTGAATTCAAGACATGGACGTCTCTCTCACATCAATAAATGAAAGAATTAAAACTGACAGGTGAACACAGAGGGGTGTGTGGGATAACGGGAGGGTCCGTCACAGCCGGACCTCACAGGGTGACATGCAGCCGGCAGCGGGCACACACGTGCCGGTCACGCGTGTGCTGCACATAGGGCCTGTGGCGGGGTGGACGCCACCCGGTGAGCGGGCATCGGCGTGGCCTCCCAGGTGCTGTCCTGCCTGCGCCCGGGACTGGGACAGCGGCCAGGCGCGCGGACATCTCACTGGCTGACAAAGCCCCTCCCCCCTCCCCGCCCCCCCCCCCCCGCACATCCTTCCTTATCTGTCACCCTGTGCAGACTGCACGCCTCAGCCACCTTCCTGGTGATTAACTTGTACAACGGCCCACGTGGGCGGGAAGGAGAAATGTCCCTGTGGGGCCCGATCTGCACTGGGGAGGGCGTGGTCCCCGCCACTCACAGGAAAGGGCGGCCTCAGCTCAACCCTGTGGCTGTCACATGGGCACACTCGGTGCTCTGACCCTGACCCCAACCTCTGACCTCCAAGCTCGGACCCTGACCCCAACCTCTGACCTCCAAGCTCTAACCCTGACCCTGACCTGAACCTCTGACCTCCAAGCTCCGACCCTGACACTAACCTTGACCTGACCTTGAGTCTAAAGCTCACCCTGTCCGTCAACTTAACAGGGACCCTGACTGTAACCCTGATCCTAACCTTAACCCTGACCGCGATCCTGACCCTAAATCCTAACCTCTAATCCTAACCCTGCACCAAACCTTGACCCCGTGTTCCAAGCTTTCGCTCTGACTCTACCCCTGACTGAACATCCAGCCGTAACTCTAAGTCCCAACCCTGACCTCTGTCCCTACCCTGGACCCTGACGCTCCCCGTAAACTGCCACCCTGACCCCCAGTTTCCTTGGCAGCAATGGAGGTGCTGGACTGTGTGAGAAGGGAAGACTTTGTCCTGAAACTGTCCTCCGCCCACAGAAGCCCACCGACTGTTCCACTCTGCTGGTGGACACGCTGACTCAGGAGCATTTAAAGTCCCGCGGGGAGGGGCTCTGCCCCTCGAGAGATGAGCTCTCAAACCAGGACGAGGCGTGGGGGGGCCTTCTGTGCGTGTGACAGCGTGAAGGGGCCCGTCTGAGCGGGGCCGCAGATGTAAACACGTACGGCCTTACTCCTGCCTGTGGTTCGGGGCACACGGGATTCAGTTACACGGAGTGTGTGTGTGTGTGTGTGTGTGAAAGTGTGTGGAATTGAAGGCCACCCCCCGGCCCGGGGCCCACTCCTGGGTCCTGTGGGAGTGACCACGGTCCCATGGACCCAGACCTCCCGACGTTTCCACTCATTCCGCGTGTGGTGAGCACCAGCCATGGGTCCCCCGCTTGGAACACTGGTGCCACAGACCCTACGGTCACCCGGCTGTGTCGGGTCCTGTCCCGGCGCCCCGTGTCCCCTCCCACACCACGCTGAGCCTGAGACCGGGGACCTCCACCACGCCCTTCGGACGCCCTCATCTGAGAAGCAGTAACACCAACACGGAACCGACCCCACCCAGGACGCACAGCCAGCCTCCCGCCCGGAAGGGTCTGTCCTTTCCACAAACTCAGTGGCCGTGACCAGGGGGACCGGGCATCGTCGCCTCCCTCCGCCGGCCCTGGCGGCCCCCCCCCCAGAACAGAAACCCTGACCAAGACGTGACCTTTGATGCACCACTTACCCCTGAAGCCTGACTTTCAACACGCAGAGCGGAAACGAGCCACCGAGTCACTCCTAGAACATGCTTCCCCCCTGAAAACAGGAGCCATCGTCCCGTCTTTGTGAACAGCAGGAAACTTTTTACATGGCCCCACGCGGCCCCACAGACCTTTGCTCCGGCCTGGGCAGGTGGCCGGCACCAGCATGTCCTGCTGGAGCAATCTTTCAGCGATTGTCCTTGCTTTTATTCATTCACAGTTTGTAAAACCGCATGCAAAACATCCCCCCGGGAACAGGGCAAGCAGCCCACCAAGGCCCCGTCCACTCCAGCCTCCCGGGGGTCGGCCCCGGGGGCGACCCCGCCGTCTGAAAACCAGGAAGCGCAGCCACGGATGATGGGGTTACCTTTGTCATTCAGTGTCTCCTCCTTTATGCTCCGGACAGCGCCTTCTGCTTTGGCTGTGTCATTTCCAGCTGCAAGGAGAAGGACATTTACCGTGAGCGGGCGGGTCCCCTGGACTTGGGCCAGCGTGCCAGAGATGGCCTCTGGAACCTTCCGGTCTCGCCGGCCTGCCCGTTGGACGCATGTGTGCCCAGGGCACGGGGACCTTTCAAGGACAGTGGGACGCACGCCAGCACGGACGCCGGGCTACAAAAGCACTTGCTGGCAGCGTGAGGGGGCACACGCACCTTCCCCCTCACGGGTGGCCTGCGCTGTGACCACAGTTGTCTCCTGACCGTGTGGCGGGAAGTGGCCGTGAATCAAACTGCCATGAGAAATGAAGAGTTGTCCCTGCCAGCCTCTGTGGGATTACCGGCTCAGAGTCACAGACAGCAGGGACGATGGCACTGCTGATCGGAGAGAATGGGGGATCGGAACTGCGCCCCACCCGAGAGGCTGAGCAGGAGCAATAGCAGCTCAGTGTGCTGGGGGGGAGGCAGACAGTGGTGGGGGCAGGTGAGGGTGCAGGGCTCCCTCTCAATTTAAGTCAAAAAATAAGACACATTTGGTGCCGACAGCCAAGGAATGGGATGTCCAAGGGCATCACCTAAATGAGGTTGTAACAGCCACGGCTCTGTCCTGGTGGCCGTGGGCGGCACATGCTTGCTCCCCTGTGTTCACACCACTATCTTTTAAAAAAAAATCCTCATCTGAGAATATACGCACTGATTTGAGAGAGAGAGAGAAGAACATCGATGTTAGAGGAAAACTTGGATTGGCTGTCTCTCGTAGGCACCCTGACTGGGAATCGAACCCACCACCTCTTGGTGCAGGGGACAAGGCTCCAACCCTGTAGCCACCTGGCCAGGGCGACAATAGACATTTTCATACCAGGCGTCACTGGCCAAAGATGTCTCGAAACCAAGTTTATGATCATCACACCTCCGAAACATACCCTTACTAAGTTTACCACTACGCCATGTAAGTGTTTGTACAAAATTTGACGCGTATGATTACATGGCTACTCGGTGGTTTTCTTGTGTATTTTTCATATCTGCATTTCAGCGTCATTGGTTTATAAGGTTACGGGTTTTCGTTTGCTGCTCTGGGTATCACGTAACACCGAGGACCAGACCAGGGAAAATCCAGCTGTGGACGGAGCCAGGGAGGGCCGGACGCACGGGCGTGTGAGTCCTCACCCCGGGCGTCCCATCTGACCGGTCACCGTCCTCCAGGACATGGTGTCGGGGAAAGAAAGGGGAGAATGAGAAATGAGAAAGAACGGCAGTGAGAGCCGTTCTGAACACGGAACACCTAGTCTACAGGGTTCCCATAAAAACCGTCACCGCAAAAGGCCGTAGTTCAATGCCGACCAGGTGCACAGAGGATTTAATCCAACTCGGGTCTTTCCCAAAGCTCATCTCCACATCCCCCTCTTCCCCACCAGATGAACAATTCCACCCCCGACTAACCGGGACTATGAACAACAGCAAAAGGGGTTTGTCTGAAGGGTTTTTACGAGCCCTGGCTGGTGTAGCTCAGTGGACTGAGCACAGGCCTACAAACTAAGGGATTGCTGGTTCGATTCCCAGTCAGGGCACATGCCTGGGTTGCAGGCCAGGTCCTAGCAGGGGGTGCATGAGAGGCAACCATATATTGATATTTCTCTCCCTCTCTCCTTCCCTTTCCCTCTAAAGATAAATGAATAAAATTTTTTTAAAAAGAGGAGTTACAGACCAAGATAAGCTATTGGAGATTTTTGAAAAGAGGAATGGAACATACAGTGTCTGTAAGGCATAGCTACAGAAGAAGCTGCTATTCTAAAAATATGTTCTGATTCGGATGTGAGCTGAACTGTGCCCCCCAAAATTCACAGGTTGGAGCCCTGATCCCCAGGACCTCAGGATGGGAGTGCATTTGTAAATGAACTTTATAAAGAGGTGACTTAGGTAAAATGGGGTCACTAGGGTGGCCCTGATCCCACAGGCCTGGGGTCCTTGTCAGAAGAGGAGATGGGGACACAGACACACCCAGAGGGACGCCTGTGTGAGGACCCAGGGGGACGACAGCCGTCCACATGCCCAGGAGAGAGGCCTCGGGGGGAGCCAGCCCTGCCCACCCCTGGGTCTCAGCCTCCAGCCTCCAGGACGGGGAGGAAGAGATGTCTGTTCTTTGCGCCTCTTTGTCTGGGGTCGCTTGTTATGTTGGCTCTGGCAAAGTAACTCAGCTTTATTGCGCTTTTTTTTCCCCCTAGTGAATCACACAAGAGAAAAAAAAAAAAGCATGATCCACATGACCACAGAACCAATATCCTTTTCCAAAAGAGGGCCCTGTTTTCTGTCTCTGTTCTTGAACACGACTGCTCCCGCTCCTGTTCTGTCTCTGAGCAGACCAGGAGCTGCCGCCGTGCACGGGCCCGCGCCCGCCTGCCCCCCCCCACCAGCCGCCACGGACAAGCACGGAAACCATCACCTAGGACCACACGCATGCCCAGCCGTGCCAGCCGCCTGCTGGTAGCGTAGCCGATGCCTTCCGTGCCCCCGGTCACTATGGCAACCCGGCCGGCTTGGTGGGGAAAGGCTGCAAAAAGAGAAAAAGAAAAATCAAAGTGAGGTTCAGGAGCCGAGGGTTGGGCTCCCACGACAGGCTGCGATCTTTGGGGTTCCTCTCGTGTCGCCACCCACAGAATACCAAGCAGGAGCCCTGCGTGGTCTCAGCTGGAGGAAGACCCCTGAGCAACGCTGCTGCTGGCCTCCCCTCCCCTCCCCGGCCACCTCCACCGATGTCTCTGGAGGAATGTGCTAGAATATGCTGTGCACAGAGGTTGGAAAAACATAATGTCCCAGCCCTGGGGGAGACTCCTGGGTGCACCATCCCGGGAAGCACCGGGAGTATATATATCGTATGCGTTTGTGTGTCAGAGGAAAGTTTTATTATTACGCAAGTATTGTTCATGTAGGAGAAAGAAGTTGGTTCTGTACTGGTCCCAGGACACCCAGGGCCGGGGGGGGGGGGCGGCAGTGGCTTCCATCGGGAGACAGAGGGGACCCGGAAGCATGACGAGGGCAGGAGCGTCCCCTGGAGATTCTGCAGGAAGGAGTGGGCTGGTCGGCTCCCAGCCGTCGGGTGCCTGCCTCTGTCTCTGGGGACCGCCCCACCCCAGGAACTCCAGCCTGCGGTGAAAGTAGCAACGGCAAACTCGTACATATATGTTTGCACACCTACACACGCCCCTGGAGAGAGATTCAATGAGATCCATACCTTGTCGTCCTCATCGGAAGAGACTTTCCACGTAAAAAAAAAAGGTCAAACAATGAGAATACTAGCATCTCCCAAATTAAGAAAACCCTTCCTCATTGTAAGTCAACCTGGAGAGAACTAGACAAGTTTTACTAATCACTTTTTTTTTTTTAACTTGGTAAGGAAAGAACAACATATGGAAAAGGAAGTGATCCGTTGGGAGGAAGTTTGCAACTCCTGGTGGAGTCAAAGGGCTAGTTCCCTCATATGGAAAGAGTTCTTGAAAATCAACAACAAGAAGCAAATGCCCTACCAAGCAGAAGGGGGAAGAGAACCCTGGGCAGGCAGTTCCGTTGGTAGGAGTGTTGTCTCATCCACCGAAAGGGCTGTGGGTTCGATTCCCAGTCGGGGCACGTACAGCAGACAACCGATCGATGCTTCTCTCACCTCGTTATTTCTCTGCCTTTGTCCCTCTAAAATCAATCAATGTATCCATACGTGAGGGTCAAAAAAATTCAGTCTATTAAAAAGAGAAGAAAATGTGTCCAAGGTTCTTTCTCGGGGATGGATAATTTCATAGCAAAGATGACTTTTCTAGGGAACAGGCATAAGCTCTGGAGGAAAAATTCTACCCCTCTGACCACACAAAAAAAAAAGTTTAATTCTGCAGAGCCAAAATCGCCACAAATAACACAGGTCACAGACAAAAGGCCGGCGACATGACACAGGGCCCATTGTTTTGTATAGAAAGAGCTCTCGGAAAAATAATCAGAGGGGAGTTCACAAACCCCAAACACAGACAACGAAAAGGAAAAAGGCATTCGGAGATTCTGCATAAAATACAGACTCAGAAGAGGATGTCAGAACTCAGCCATAATGAAAGAACGTAGGAATAAAGTTCGTAGCTTCATCCGTGAACGAGAACAGTTCGTGCTCCCCAGAATGGGTTTGTCCCCCAAAACATTAGATGCTTGCACACGTGACGAATTCTCCACCGAGACGGTATGTCCCCAGCCGACGAGGGGGCCACGGCTGTTTCCCCAGAGCTGCGTAAACGGCCTCAACAACTAATGCCCCCGACGCACGGCTGAGGGTTTGCAAACACGTAAAAGACACTGCAGCTGTTTATCGGAGCAGCATCGTCAGCTCAGGGGAGACGCTTACAGGTACTATTTGAAAGGGGCTGCCCGACCCTGGTGCAGCAATGACCTGGACGAAGCCACGAGGAATTTGGAGAGCACGTTCGGAAAGGGCTCCGTGGTGTGGGCTCCGATTTATGGGGCCTGGTTGACATGAGGAAGTCGGACTGACAGAGAGGGTATCTGTCAGTGGTTGGCGGGCTGATGTGTGGGGTGTAGCTGCAGACAGGCCACCAGGGGCTCCTGCTGGGGGCAGGGCTGCTCTGTGCCCTGACGGGGACGGGGAATTCAGTCACCTCCATGAGTAGCACAGAGCTAGAGACACACAGATTCAGGGAGACCCAGGGAGCTTTAGTATCAGTCTCTTCCCCTAGCGGAGGGACCACAGGTGTGCAAGTTATCAGAGAACTGGCGAGGCTTCTCCACCGTCCTCCTCACGTACAATCCCGTGGGGTTCTACAAGTATCTCGAGGGAGGAACGCTTCCAAGTGTTACCTAGAAAAACCAATGAAGTCTAAGCTGCTGCCGTATACTAGAGCCTGCTTAATAAAAAACACACAAAACAAAAAGCTGAAGCCCTGGCCAGCATGACTCCATTGGTTGGAGCATCACCCCGGAGAACCAAAAGGTTGCAGGTTTGATCCGGGGTTGGGGCATGTGCCTAGGTTTTGAGTTTGGTCCCCGGTCAGGGCCTAGATGGGAGGCAATCAACCGATGTTTCTCTCTCTCAAATCAATATATTGCTTAACAGATTTAAAAAGGAAGACACACGCATTTTTATTCCGAGTGACTGGAAGCCAAGCCTTTTCTAAAAGGGGGCTGTTTGTGTTTCTAGAAGGACAGCCACCAGGGAGGTGGGAGCTGGGTCTTGGGGTTGGTTTTTCCCGCCCAGGAGCAGAGAGAGGACAAGTCCCAAAGCCCTTGGCACTGGTCCCAGCCGGATGCCCTTTTTCCCGGGAATGCTCAGAGCTGAGGGTCTTCGATTAGCCGCGGTCACCGTCCCTCAAGGCGCACGCACGGCTTAAACCACGCCCTTCCACGCCTGGCTTTGTGAACCAGCACGCAGCTGGTGACAGAAAGAGGCACCTCTGCTCTCTGTAAGCCCCAGGGCGTCGCCGCCGGCCACTAAGGCAGAGAAATTTCCTCCCGCCAGCTCCGGGATGTGGTTGGGGCACCTGAGCAGGGCACTGCGGGTCGCTGAGATGGGTCACGTCCACACGGCTTACCTTGTCAGGTGCCATCTGAATACGCACCCGGAAGGAAAGACAGGCCTCCACTCTTCAAACGAACAACAACAAAAAGTAATTAAAAGTGATCGTAAGTGGTGGACTAAACAACCCTCAAAGATAAAAGTATCCGTGGAGATCATTTAAAATCGATTGTGTCCGGGGTGTGTCGTTGAAAAGGGAGAATTCAAAGGCCCTTCCCGTCATCAAAATGTTGACCAGGCCGCGGGCATCCGAGGTTTCCCCCTATTGAAAAGCAGAGCTCGGTGCAAGGGGGCTGTTTCTCATCTCCGAGAAAAGCGATTCTGGGGAAAAACGGACCTTTTAAGCAGCAGACGCAAAAATAGCCGCGGGCCCAAAGCACCCAAACCCTTCCGAGGACCGAGTCAATAACCAAGGGCACTCTTCCGGGGGACGGGCAAGGCTCACGAATGGCAGAAAAGACAAGAATACACGGATCGCCAGTTTTCTGGTGTTTAATATGCGCTTCCATGGCGCGGTCACTTCGAACAGCTGTTACCCCACAACAAACACCAGTGCGCATTTGGTTCCAGACTCTGGTGAATCTGAGAGGCAGGGTTCGGATTTGCGCACGCGTGTTCCCCGCGGAAGGAGCGCCGGGGCGCCCCACACGGTGCTGGGGCCTCGGAGGGATGGGTTCATTCTCCTCTGCCGGTAGTTGTGACTTTCAGCTGTGGGAATCACAGATCACAGAGTCCCTCGTCCTGTCCTCAGTGAGGGCGGGGACGCATGCTGGTTATGGAAGCGGATGTCCCTTCTTCTACTGGGATGCGACTGGTGCCGTCTTCCAGCCCTCCCCAGTCTCGGCTTTGTTTTTGTGGTTTGTCTGTGCGCACGGCCAAGCACCCCGCCCCTATACCGCTTTCCTGAGCCGCCCCCCTTCCACCCCCGCTACGCGAATCCGCCCTCCCGGACCCCGAAGAAGCCGCTGTGCACCGCATCCCCGAACGTGAAGGCCTGCTCCTGGTCCAGCCCCCAGTCCCCCTCGCCCTCGCCCTCCGGCTCCGGCTCCGCCCCTGCGCGGCTGTTCTCGTACAGAAACACCTGCTCGTCCACGTGCGCCGGCGCCAGGCGGTTCCTCTTGGCGCTGACCACGCTGGCCGCGGCGCCGAAGAGGCGCTCGGGCGGGGCGCACGTGGCCGCCACACACCAGTACTTGCGCAGAACCTTGGGGAGCACCGGGAACAGCGCCAGGCGGTCCGACCACCAGCGCAGCGGGTCCTCGCCCAGCCCCAGCACCTTCTGGGACTTGAAGTTGCTCAGCTCCTCCAGCAGCTGCGCGTGCACCTCCTCCTGGTCCTCCACGCCGCCCGTGGGGCAGAAGATCTCCGCCAGCATGCTGTTGATGACGCTGGTGGGCGGCGGCGGTGTGGACGGCAGCCCCGGCTTCTTGGCGGGCGGCTCCTCCGCCTGCCCGAAGGCCTTGTCATCGGCCGCCGCCGCCGCCGCCGCGGGCGCGCCGTCCTTGCCCTTGTCCAGGAGGCCCTTGGCTTCCTCCAGCACCCGGTTCTCCACCTGCTGCCGCTCAAAGGCGGACAGGAAGGGCAGCTTCTTGTAGCGCGGGTCCAGGAAGGTGGCCACGTTGAGGAACATGTCGATCTCGGGCGTCTCCTGGTAGGTCTCAGCCAGCGCCTTGGCGATGACCTCCTTGGCCATGCTGGTCTCTTTGGAGTCCGTCTCCTTGACCGTGAGCGTGGTGCTGAGCAGCATGTGCAGCAGCGGTTTGACCATGCTGACCGTGGGGTGCCGGGACGCGCTCAGCATGTCCGCCACCTGCTTGAAGGGCTGCAGCAGCCCCACGAGGCCCTCGATGGCCGCCCACTCGGCGGCCTCCAGCATGAGGTGGTGGTTGTTGCTGTCCTCCACCAGGACGCCCGCGATGACGAACTGCTGCTCCAGCAGGCGCTGCAGCATGGCCAGCGTGCTGCCCCACCAGGACACGCGGTCGCTGACCAGCATGCAGGGCGCCCGGCGCTGCAGCTTCTGCTTCTCCTGCAGCATGAACCTGGCCACCGGGGACTGCTGGAAGTAGTCCACCAGCCGGCGGCAGCGCGCCAGCAGCCCGCCCAGCTTGGGCAGCTGCAAGGCCTGCCGGATGCCGGCGTCGAAGCTGTGGCCCAGGCAGGGCATCTGCACCGCGATGTCCAGCAGCGAGCAGGCCTTGGCCACGTCCTTGCCGCCGTCCGTGGTGGCCCCGGACACCTTGGCGCTGATGCCCCACTCGATGAACGTCTCGTACAGGACCCGCGTGATGGTCTCCGCCGCGTTCTCGTCGGGCACCTCGAACGTCTTCAGGCACCGGGAGCCCGGGGACAGGCCGTGGGGGGCCCCTCCGCCGAGGAAGTGGGCAGCCAGCGTGACGTACGTCCGGTTCTGGTTGTGGCTTCGCCACACGTCGGTGGACAGGCCGCACCAGGGCGCGTCGGCCAGCTCCTTGCGCACTGCCTCGCGCACGGCGCCGTACTTCTCGGGGATGGCCTTGGCGCAGAAGAACTTCCTGCTGGGCAGCTCGTACCAGGGGTCCGCCGTCTTCAGCAGCAGGCGGAAGGTGGGCTCGTCCACGATGGAGGCCGGGTACAGCCCCTCACAGATGAGGCCGAGCACGGCGGCCGTCAGCTCCTGCTGCCTCTTGGCCTCGTGGCTGAGGCCGGCCTTGGCGGCGGCCAGCGGGTCCTGTGCCGCCAGCTGCGACGCCTCGGGCTTCAGCTTGGAGAAGGCGGTGGCGAAGGCCTCACGCATCTGCTCGGTGTTGCTCTTGACGAACTCGCAGAACTCCTCGGGGTGGTTCTTCTCCAGGTGGTACGACAGGTTGGAGGTGTTCCCGGAGTAGGCGATCTGCGCCATGCAGATGCGGCAGTAAATCTTCTTCCACTGCAGGATGCACCCCTCCGCGTTGGTGTCGAAGCCGAAGTACTTCCACACCTTGCTCTTGGCGCGCGGGTGGGCCACCAGCTTGAGGTCCGGCGGGCAGCTGTCGGGGCTCTTCCCCTCCATCGTCCAGGCCCGGGGGAGGAGGGGCTGAGCGGGGGCGCGCCTCTCACGCGTGGCCACCTGCTGAGAAGCAGCGACACAAACAGAACGTGAGAAGGGACCCAGGCACGTGGGCGGAGAGCAGGCAGGCGCCCCAGCGGCTGCGCTTTCGGAAACAGGGCCCGCGGGCTGCGTGGGCTGCCTTTCCTTGGCGCGAGGCTTTGGCGAAGCAAAGGGGAGAGTCCGGCGCACGGGCGCGGGCTTCCGTCTGGGTCGCTGGCAACATGCGGTTCTTTGAACGTCTTTGCGCGCCTTACGCGTCTTGCGTCATCTCTGCCGTGAGCGCTCCTACAAGGTCCACGGACCACGCACCAGGCAGGCGGGGCGTTTCTGTGCAAAGCGCGTTCACTTGAGCCTCCCTGATCAAGAACACCCACCCCCACGCGCCGTCTGGTTGTCATTCATAACGTGAGTGACGCACGCTGTGTGAGGCTGCCCCGATGCAAAAAAAAAAGAAAAGAAAAGAAAAAACAAAAACGAGATCCCAGGTCGTCAACTTGGCTCAAGACGCAGTAACATTCTTTTTTAATTTCATTTATTTATTTGTAGAGAGAGGGGAAGGGAGGGAGAAAGAGGGAGAGAAACATCCATGGGTGGTTGCCTCTTGCGCGCCCCCTACTGGGGTCCTGGCCCGCGACCCAGGCAAGTGTCCTGACTGGGAATGGAACTGGGGACCCTTCGGGTGTCAGGCCGGTGCTCAGTCCACAGAGCCACACCAGCCAGGGCTGATTCTTTACAAATGTGCCGTTTGGATAGGATGGCTGAGCCAAGTGGGACGGGAATGGATTTCTCCGGTCTGGGATGTCTCAAAACGCCCAGGGCGGGCAGTGTCCTCCGAGCTCAGAAACTGCCCTATGAGCCAGGCCCCGGGGTCCCCTCCGAGCCCACACCCCTAACCCTTTGATTCCCCCCCTCGGGGCAGGGACACCTCAAAGGGCAGCCGGGTTTGGGTACACGGTGCACGTTCTGTGTGTAACCTTCCCACCCCCTGTCGTCAAATAACAAGCCGCACCAACCAGCTGTTCCTAACTGCTGGGGGCCTGTTCAGAGCCAAACACTGGTGAGCACTGGGGTCGTGGCGAGGGGCGGGAACCAGAGCCTGTCCCAAAATTCCAGTCCTCAGACAACCTGGGAACAGGGCCTTTGCAGGTGGGAGGAGGGAAGGATCTGAGAGGAGGTCGTCCTGGGTCAGGGTGGCCCTGGGTCCAGTGACAGTGGCCTGAGAAGGGACAGAAGAGGAGACCAGACCCAGAGGAGAAGCCACGTGGAGACGGAGGCAGAGTCTGGAGGGACTCCTGGAGCCCCAGGATCCGGAAGGGGGGGAAGGCCCCTCCCTGGAGCCCGTGGAGGGAGCGCAGTCCTAAGACCCCTGGACCTCAGTCGCCTGGTCTCCAGGACGGGGGAGGGTGACTGTGTGTGGTCTCCTGGCACGACCGCCCCACCAAGATGAGGCGAGGCCCAGCACCACCGTTTTATCACCATCGGGCGCAAAGTGTCCTCCACAGCGGCGTCCCACCCGAGCCTTCCCACATGCTGGTCCTAGCGTGTCCGTGGGCCTGGCCCCGAAGGCCACCCATAGAGGTCCTGCCTTGTGTCACGGCCATGCGAGCACCTGCGTTGTCCCTGTTCCGTGGGAGCAGAACAAACCAACAGCCGAACAGAGCTGATGACTCGGGGCGGAGGCGCCCCAGGACAGACCCCGGCTCCCCCGACCTTTCTCTTCTCGTAGGAGAGCACGGTCACTTTGCATCTGGAAATGTTATGTTACTGGTGATGACGACCTGCGTGTGCCCTGTGGCTGTGAGCTGCGATAACAGTTTCAGGTACTCTGAACGGAGTTTGAAATGGCCACGTTTCATTCCCAATCCTGAGAGGTCTCAAAAATTAAAGCCACGCGGGCAAAAAGATCTTTGTGGGTGGGGAGTGGGGTCCTGAGATCGTAACGTTGGAAAACTCACCTCCCTGCACCCAGAGGCCACACCTGCTCACAGGTACACAAAACCAACAAGAATTAATGTTCTCTTTGTAGGTTTTTCAAACCCTGTACTTGGAGAAGCAGGGTCTCTGCCAACAGCATTGTCAGTGGGCCGGCCGGCATATTATGGGCTGGAACACGCCGCTTCCCAGCCCGGCACGCAGACTCAGTTCCCCTACTCACAAAAGGACGTTTAAGGAAAAGCCTAGGCCGAGGGTGAACCCGAGGGGGACACGCGTCTCGCCCCATGTGTCTCCTCGTCGACTCTCACGCCTGCCTCAGAGACATGGAATTTGTCACAGACACTCTTTGTCCCTCGCACACTCCGACGATGCCCCACAGGTTTGGGGTCAGTGTTCGAATGCCCGTGTCCGCTTTGCACACGGAAGCCAGCGACTCCATCTCGCCTTCAAAAGATGGGGCTGCTGCTTATGAAAATAAAGCGGAAAAAGGATGCAGCCTGACCCCAGCCCAGACCTGGGGAAGGAGACACCTTCCCAGGAGTTCTTGACGGACATTCTATATTGTTCATGCCATATTTCCGTCAAGACAGGGCTGCCTTGGAGAAGCACTTTGTGGTGATGTCGGTTCCACAAAACACGTTGCGAGAACAGCGGGCAACGGGCAGCCATGGCGCCGGCATCTGCTTCCCACGGTCTAAGGGGACTGGTGCATCACGCCCGCCTTTATCCGACTTCTATTTTGGACTGCTGAGAAAAGAGCCCCAAAAAGGCAGCGAGGCCTCTTGGGTCGGCTCCAAGGGCAGAGCAAAGTGCAATGTCTCCTCCGCCGCCCGCGCAGATTAGGCCAGAAAGAGGTGAAAGGACCCACAGGAGATGCCCCGTGGCGGCCAGCCACCCACTGAGCACCAGAAGAGCTGCCCCCTCGTCCAGGGTCTAAGATTATGTTGAAGCCCGAGACAGGCCCAGGCTTGTCCTGGATGAGCGAGTGACACTCCTGTGTATCTAAAATGACTCTTTCTGGCCTGCAGATATGGAGTCCCTTTGCCAGACTTCGGCTGATCTTTTAACGCTTTATGTATATGTATTTTTAAAGCAACATGGCCAAAGAACACCAAAGCCCTCCATATCTGCATGCCCCCCCCCCCACGTGGTCAAAATAAGCTGACCGGCGGGTGGTCCCAGGGTCCAAATTTAAATTCCATTCTCAGTGCGACTGTCTGCTTTCTGTGGACACAGGACAGGCTGGCGGGCAGGTGAGCATGGCCCACATAGAGCTCCCGCCGTGCCCCGCGCTCCGGGGAGCCTTTCCACAGCGACCCACAGTTCACAGGTGAGTCCAGATTAAAAAGGGACAGTGCAAGGTGTCCCTAGAGACAAGAGCATGTTGGGGACCAGCAGGGAAGGAGTTTGGAGGGGGAAAATTGGATTAAAGGGGTGACATTTATGCTCAAAGGCACAAACTAACTTTTAGGGGGGCACACACAAGAGAGCAGACACGTGATCAATATGATCATAGTGTACCTGGGAAATTTATGTGAGGGACCAAGGTCACCTCAGTAAAAACCACGGTGATTTTCAAAGATGAGGCATGTCCACCTTCCATTCCCCAGGCCTTGGGGAGAGGCTGGAGGCTGGCTTCTTCCTACCCTTTCAGTTGGAATCTCACTGACCCAGTTTAAAAACAGGGACAGCCAGGGCCTGGCAAAACCCACGGCTTTGCCCCTGTCCCAGTAAACGTGTCTGCCTGGGGGCGCTGGGGAACCGGGTGGACTGTACCGTATTTTATCGTGTATAATGCGCACCCACGTGTTGGGGCCCAGGCTTTCGGGGGTGGGGGGTGGGGGTGGGGGAAAACCCTTTCGTTGTCATTTTGTAATTCAGTTTTTTTATGGACTTCTGTTTAGAAACAAAACTGGTGATCGTACGGCAGGGCAGTATTTTGCCCATGGATATCATTCCGGTATCAGGACTCCCCGTGTATAACGCAAATCCTTCGTTCCCCCTCAAAAAATGTGAGCGGGAACAGTGCGCGCCATCTGCGGCCCGATAGGAGATTTCCCTCCCTTCAGAGCGGCTTTTGGCGAGGGGGGTGGGGCAGTATTTTCACAACCCGACACGCCCCTGGCCTTGCTTCACCTCCATCCTTTGGGGCATTCTCTCCAGAAGCCAGCAGGCACTCAGGGGCTAAGGCAAAGGGGAACGAGAACGCTGTCCCCAAGCCAGGTAGGACAAGGAGCAGATTAGCTGCCAAGCCACAGGGCGTAATTCCCATTCCAGACTGTGCGTCCGAAAACCAGTTGTTTTTCCCCTCAAAGTAGTATGTGCAGGAGCTGACAGGACCACTCCCGGCCCACCAGCGCACCCGTGGACGCACCAGGCTTCTGGGTCTTAGCTCCTAGCCGTGCTGTGAATGGCCCGTTCAGGGCGCCGGCCCACAGGCGGGAGGGAGGTCCCCAGGCCCTTCAGCGGCCTGGACCCGAAGTTGCCCGGTGCGGGGCGGCCCCGTGCGTCTCTAACCACAGAGAAACAAAGTTGCCGCTGAACGGAAGTGCCCTCCCTCGCAGACCTCCACGGGCTCCCCGGCGCCGCAGAAGCCAGTGCCGCGGCCCACGCCTGCCAGCCCCGTCCTACCTGACCCGGGCCCGGGCGGGGGCGCGGCCACGGCGCGAGCCCCCTGCAGGCGGAAGAGCCGCCTGAGGTCTGGGATCCCGGGACCCCGGGCTACTACCCAGAGGAGGGGCCTTCCCAGGGTGAGACCGCGGCCCAGGGCGCGCGGGGGCGGGGCGGAGGAACGGAGCGCACGACCCCCGCCCGGGCGCCCAGCCCCTCCTTCCCGGCGCGCCCCAGAGTCAAGGTCACGCGGGGCCGGGAGCGCGCCCCAGCCCGGTGTCGCCGCGGTCGCCAAAGTACCCCCTGTCCCCGCCAGGCCCGCCCTGTGCTGCCCGCCCGGGAATCCGCGCGCCCGGCTCGCGCGTGTCCGCCGCTGACCTGGCTCCGAGAAGCCCCCGAGGCAGCGGCGCAGCAGCTGCGCCAGGATCACCGCTGTGCCCATCGCGTAGACGCGCAGGGCCTCCCGCGCCGCAGACAAAGGCGACATGGCTGCTCCGCCACCGCTTCCGCGACGCCGGCCCAGGACTCGGCTGCACGGATAGACCCGAGGACAGCGCAGGCCCGCCCCGCCGGGCACCGCCCCCGCCCCGCCCCGCGCCCGCCCCGCCCCGCCCCTCCCCCCCCCTCCGGAAAAGTGACCCAGCCGCCTGTCCCCTGCCAGGAACCCACACACCCACACAGACCGTACCCCCACCCTGATCTCGGCCCCCCACCCAGATCCTCACCCGGCTGCCGGGACCCTCACTTGGACCCCTATGGGGGACCAGAGAACCACCCCCACGGGGGCGCCCACGGGGACCCCTACAGGGTCCTGGAACCACACACCCGTCCAGGTCAGGTAATGACCCCGACTGCACGTGTCCCCACCTTCCTGCCTGGACCCCCACCACACCCGTGCTGGGGACCACCAGCTCCATCCAGCCCGCCAAGCAGGCCCCACCCAGAGCCCCACCGGGACACCTGGCGGACCCCCAGGGAGCCCCCGAGCCTGCTACCTGCAGCCCCCACAAGGACCTCCACCCAGCCCCCCCCCCCAATTCTAACGCCCACTGGACCGCAGGCGAGCACCCTTCATGCACACCGAGCCGGGCTCACCCCCAGTCCCTGCCAAGACCCAGGACCGAGGACCCCCAGGCCCTCTGCCGCCGCTAGAAGCCAGGACACCCTCCTCCATGACCCTTCAGGACCCTAACTCCCACCTGCGACCCCCACTAAGAAGTGACCCCCGCCTGGCCTGCCTGGGGCTGAAACCCTAGCGCAGCTCTAGGGGGCGCTGCGGAGCACGCAGGCTGCGAGCACTGGGGCGGCCTGGACCGGGCTCCCAGGGGGAACTAAGACGCTAGGGTGCACCCCCGTGGGGTACCCCCAGGCCGGCGGAGGACACGCCCTTCTGGCCTTGCAACCCTGCGGCCTACAGACGAGAAAACTGAGGCCAGGCTGCGCTCCCATAATTCCCCGCTCTGCTTGGCCAGGTACGCCCAGGTGGGTCCGGCAAAGAGCGTTAGGGGGCGTCACAGTCACCCTGAAGGGCTTCCCACAAGAGGCCCCCGCGTGGGAGATGGGAAGTCGTCGCCCACGGCGTCAGAACTGGAACCGGGTGTCCACCATGGAGCGCCAGGGCTGGCCCCTGTCCGGACCCCCGTGCCCCTTCCCCAGGGGACCGGTGGAACTTCAGGTGTGTTCTAAGGAAAGGCTCCCAGGCCCCCGGAGGTGAGGCGCGGAGGGTGAGCAATGCCAGGTCACCTCTAGGGGGGCCCCCAGTGCCCTCCTCTTTTCTTCCTGCCCCCAAGTCGGCCAAGTGTCTTTGCATGTGGGGTTTCCGGAGCCGAGAACCGGGGGCTGAGACCTGAGGGCCCCACCGGGTAGTTGGAGCAATGGTTGCGGACCCCCAGCAGCGGCCAGAAAGACCCCGTATAGTCTGCCAAAGCCGGTGCTTCACTCCGAACGCACCTGTAATACGTAACCCCACCCGGAGCAGCTCCCAGCAACCCGAGTGTGTGACCTCGTGGCCGGGTGGGTGAGAAGCTCGCACAGGCCGTTCCCCCTGAGTCTGCTTGCTGCTTCAGGTTCCCAAGGTCAAAAATAGGAGGCCCACCCACCCACAGGGGCGGTCCGGACAGGCCCCGTTCTTGGCTCATACAGGTGGGCGGCAGAATCTGGCCCTTCAGAGGGTGTGGCGCTGACGTCCTCGCTGGCGCTTCACTCCTGGTCCCTCTCTGCTTTGGGCAGGGTCCCCTGTGTCCCATCTGGAACCTGACCACCTTCCCTTCCTGCCACAGGGTGGTGTCTACTGCCTGACATTGAACTGAATGGTTCACCCTCCCTTTTATGCAAAGCTTAAGCAGTGAGCCCCCCCCCCCCCACCTTTAGGTCGCCAGAGAGTACCAGCCTTGCTCAGCTCCCTGACTGTGTAGAGTGACAAAGTAAGGAACAGGCTGGCGTCATTTCCGGTGGGTCCCAGCGCTGGACTTAAACACTGTCCTCAACCTGTGCGCTCAGTGGTGACCCTCAAGGCGTTTCCTGCGTAGACATTCCCATCGCTCCGGCCAATGGTGAGATAATGAGGTTTCCCAACAATCCCCTGCCCCACCTCCCACCCTCTCTGCTTGGACTGTGCCTTTGACAGTGTCCCCGATGTCCCCAGCTCGAAGGAGGGAAGACGGCCTTATTTTGTGACCTTGTGATAAAGCCCTTCTTAGCGTCAGCCCAGGAATGTTACCCGCTCTTGCTAAAGTAAACCCACACTCACTTCTTGGGGGGTCGTCAGCCTTTTACTTCTAAGAACTGTGGTGCGGGAGGGTGGAGACGTGGGGGGCTCACGGAGTGCCACTCTTGAGAGACCGCCAGGCTGGAGTTCAGGTCCTCCCGCTGGGTGGACACCTTCCCCAGGTCCTCGTACCTGTCTGTGCTGTTGCGATTCTCAGCACCAGGAGCACACAGATCGACAGAGCGGTCTGCACTCACCCAGGGAGGCGTGGAACCTGAGGGGGGTCTCGGAGCCCCCTGAAGCTGCAGGGTGCTCTTGGGGACTTGGCAGCGGGGACCGTCAAGTACAGTCCAAGAGCCGGAGAAGCCCACAATTTCTCCATGTAATGGCCATGCACGGAATCGGGAGAAGGAATAGGAGGGTGTGTGGGGACAGGGTCCTGGTGGCCCTGTCCCTTCCGCCTCCTACTCTTCAACAAACAGACAAGGGCAGGCTGTGAAGGAGCAAGGTGACGGCGAATTCTCCTCAGTGGGCGTGCTCTTGGCCGGCGTTTCCCGCTCCCAGGACCTTGGGGAAGGCGGGTCACGCTCTGCCATTGCTTCACGGCACACAGCGCAGCCTTGTCTCAGTCAGCGTGGTGGCGTGGTGGCCTCTTTTCTTGCGCGTTCATGGCCGTGACCTCTGAGAGCAGGCGGGTGATGGGCGTGGGTGCGGTGTCCGGCTCGAAGAGTCTGTCTTGGAGATGCGTTTTGTCCCTTTCTCAGGAGCAGGGGGACAGAGGCAGCGTCTCCAGGTGACGACATGCGTGTGTGTGATTTCTCTCCTGAGGATCAGCTGGCCCGGTGGTCCCTGGACCTCCCCCGACGATAGTCCGTGGGTGGGCACCCAACTCCAGTGTGGTGTGGGAGGCCTTCAGACAGGCAGGCTGCCGAGATGTCCAAGGGGCACAGGAGCAAGAACATGAGATGTCTCTGCCGCCCTCATCCAGGGACCCCGGCCTCGGCTCTCTGCTGGGTCTTTGCGCTGCTCAGCCTGCTCTTGACTCAGACGAGCCTGGAGGGCATGGCCACTAGGTGGGTGTCCCCGATAAAGACGCAGAAACCAGGCGATCCCCCTTCAGGTGTGAGAGATCCAGGTGGCACCAACCTTCATCTTCCCGACTCCCCGTATTTTGCCGTGCGCACCTTTCTTGCTCACATTTTTGAGGGAAAAAGCAAGGGTGCGCACTATACGTGAGTGTAATGATTCCGCACCAGGTAATAATCCTGCGGATAATTCACACGAAATGTGGGTGCGTGTTATATATGGCAAAACATGGTATTTTGCAGAAGTGTAGAAATGCTATAAAATAGGTGCTGTTTGGGAGACACTGCTTTTTGGGGGGGGGTTAAGATTCTGTTTATTTTTTGAGAGGGCAAGGGAGGGAGAGAGCAAAGGAGTGAAACATCTATGTGTGGTTGCTTCTCATGCGCCCCCTACTGGGGATCTGGCCTGCAACCCAGGCGTGTGCCCTGACTGGGAATCGAACTTATGACCCTTTGGTTCGCAGGCTGGTGCTCAGTCCACTGAGCCGCACCAGCCAGGACACACTGTATTTTTTTTTTGAGTCACCTGGAGCCATATTCTTTTCCCAAAAAATTGATAGTGATGATAGCCTTCAATCCGTTTCCATTTAAAGTAATTGTTGATGGATATGTACTTATCTCGACGTTATTATTGATATTTCTTATGTTTCCTTTTTTTCTTAAAGAAGTCCTTTTAACCTTTCATTTAGCGCTGGTTTGGTGGTGACAAACTCCTTTAGCTTTTCCTTGTCTGGGAAGCTCTTTATCGGCCGATCGATTGTCAGCGACAGCAGCCATAAAAGTCGACCGCCGCTTACCATTGGTAGGAGCAGAACGGGTCTGTGGGGAATCGTGGTCAGCGGAATAACTCGGGGAAAGACAAGTATGGAATCACCTGACTTGTCTGTGGGCTCTGAAGAATGACAGAAACAAAGACACGAGATACAGACTGACGGACAGAAACCAGGAGCAGACTGAGGTTCGCCGTACAGCGGGGAGGTGGGGGGCTGAGGGGAAAGATGGGGGGATTGAGAAGCGCAGTTGGGTGGGGACAGAATTGCCACAGGGCTGTAAAGTCCCGCACAGGGAGTGTGGCCCCCAAATCACAACAGGCCGTTCAGTATGGAACGTCAACTGTAACTGAGAAATAAAAAACGGGTTGAAAATATCTACATGATGGTGGTTACGAAGTTGAGACAGTGACCCACAGCCAGTGTGGGTCCCCCTTCTCGGGTTGTTCCGAGATGCGCAGAGATGGGGGAGGCCGGGTCCGCGTGGAGGACCGCGCAGGGGCCCGGGCAGAGTTCGTGGGTGGATGCTGCCCGGGTGGCTGGCCCAGGGGAGGGACAGGCAGCCTCACCGGAAGTTATTTAACATAACTTCCAAATACAACACGGATGGCAGACGTCCTTTTGAGGAGCTGACGCTTCCCATGCCGGGATACGTGATACAAAGGATTACTGCTCGTTTTGAATTTTCATGCATTCACTCACTCATTTCTTCGTTCATCCATTCATTCATGCACTCATTCATGTGTTCACTCACTCATCCACTCATTCATGTGTTCACTCACTCATCCACTCATTCACTCACTCATCCACTCATTCATTCACTCATTCCTTCATTCACTCATTCATTTGTTCACGCAGTCGTTCACTCACTCATGAGTTCACTCATTCATTCATCCACTCATTCATTCATTCACTCATTCATCCGTTCATTCATTCATTTGTGCACTCACTCGTTCACTCACTCATTCATTCATCTACTCATTCATTCCTTCACT